TGGGTTTGATCACGACCCTCACGCCTGCTGCTGTATATTTGGAGTTCTCCTTGTGGTGGCGTGGATTTTTCTCCAGGCCCTTCGGTTTCTCCCGCCACATTTAGAGTCGACGTCACGCGTTTAGAGTGTTTGACAAAGATGCGTTGAGCAGCCCACTTCCTTGAGCTATCGCTTGTGGCCACGTCGCCGCTGAAAAAGAGCGACGCAGCCCAGCGGGCCTTGTGGGGTGAAATAAAAAAAATAGTTTATAGTTTAGTTTTGAAGAGGTACACACACACACATCTGTAAGTATATACACACATGTACACCTTTAAACACACACTCATACAAACGCAAACACAGATACACATGTGCAGTGTGTATATAGACACACATGTAAACAAAGATCCACGGTGTAGCCTTAACAGACCGTTGGGGCAAGTGCTGTTAGCAAAGTAGCACCTAGGAAGGCCGGCACTGTGGCACACGAGGGGGTGGGCGGTGACGTTTGTGCACCGCACCAGGTACTCGTTTGAGGCCGAGTCGACCTAGGCGAGGCCCAGGACATTTTCACATTTTCACTCAACTCTCTCGCCATCTACCCCCGCTCCCTGTGACAGCACAACGTGGAGGTGCTGTCACCCACCGCTGTGTCATGATGTCACTCCTCTCTCCCCGTGACAGCACAACGTGGAGGTGCTGTCGCTGCTGTCGGACGAGGTGGAGACGGAGGCGGCGGGGCCCGGCGAGAACCTGAAGCTGCGGCTCAAGGGCATTGAGGAGGAGGAGATCCTGCCGGGCTTCGTGCTGTGCGACGCCGCCAACCTCTGCCACACGGGCTGCACCTTCGACGCGCAGGTGGGGTGCTCCGCCTAGCCTGGCACGAGCGCCGGGTGCTCGCTTTGAGGCCGAGTCGACTTAGGGGGAGACCGAAGATCCGGTTCACATAACCGTCGCTCGTGGTGGCCGTGAGCCGAGGACCGGTTCGGTCCCGTGCCGTAGTGATTTGCTGTTTGTGCCGAGTGCCGTACCTCTCGGCGGGGTGCCGTGTACTGGCTTGCCTCGGCGTGCTGTCCCTATTAAGTGGTCTGTGTGTGTCGGTGTGTCTGTGTGTGTCTTTATCTGTCTGTGTGTGTCTTTATTTGTCTGTGTCTTTGTGTGTCTGTGTATCTGTGTCGGAGCGGTAGTGGTAGCGGTTAGTGCACTGCCACCATCAGTGACGATTATCTGAACCGGTCCTGTGCCTCTCCTAGGTTGACTGAGGCTCAAATGAGTACCCGGTGCGGTGTGTCAACACTTCAGTGTCGGCCACCCATCCCACGGGTGGCGCTACTCGCGAAGGGCACTTGCCGCAACAGTCTGTCAAGTCTATACGGGGGATCTTTGTCTTTGTCGTGCTTCTTTGCCCGCAGATCGTGATCATTGAACACAAGTCGATCATCTGCCCCGGCTACAACGCTGTCCTGCACATCCACACGTGCGTCGAGGAAGTACAGATCAAGGTGCGTGGGCGGGAGAGCGCCTCCACACGGCCGCAGGGCTAACACACAGCGGCACGGCGCGCGCAACAGGGAGAGGAGACGCAGCAGACGCAGCAGGGAGAGGAGACGCAGCAGGCAGAGCAGACGCAGCAGGGAGAGGAGACGCAGCAGGCAGAGCAGACGCGGCAGGGAGAGGAGACGCAGCAGGCAGAGCAGACGCAGCAGACGCAGCAGGCAGAGCAGACGCGGCAGACGCAGCAGGGAGAGACGGGAACATTGCGACGTGGCGCTCGGTTTCGCTGCGCACGAGCAGCCGGTCGCGTTCCTCGCGAGCGAGCCGATGGGTGGGGGGGGGGGGGACGCAGGTGAGTGGTTCGGTGGTGGTTGAGCGGTTGAGCGAGCGGGTTGGCGCACCAGCGGCTGAGCGAGCGAGCGCGTGGATGGGAGAGCGGGAGGAGGGTGGATTGGCGATTTAATGGTTCGGTGAGGGAGTGAGCGGTTGAGTAAGCGAAGTCGGTGGTCGAGTGGGCGGGTTGTCGCACGAGCGGTTGGGTGAGTGTGTGAGCAAGCCTAGTGGGGGACGAGTGAGTGAGTGGGCGGGCGAGCGAGCGGACGGGCCTCGTGGGACGGTGAGTGGACGAGTGAGTGAGTCGGCGGGTGAGCGGGCGGGCGAGCGAGTGAGCGGGCAAGCCTCGTGGAATGGTGAGCGAGTGAGCGAGCGTCTCTCGCTCTGCGTGCCGCAGGCGCTGCTGTGCCTGGTGGACAAGAAGAGTGGTGAGAAGAGTCAGACGCGGCCGCGCTTCGTGAAGCAAGACCAGGTGTGCATCGCACGCCTGCGCGCCGTCGGCGCCATCTGCCTCGAGACCTTCAAGGACTTCCCCCAAATGGGGCGCTTCACCCTGCGTGACGAAGGTTTCCACCCCTACCCACCCCCACGCACCCCTACCACCCACACGTACCCACCCCTACCACCCACACCTGTACCGCACCCACCCACCCATACCACCCCACCCACACCACACCCCTACCACCCCCACCCACGCCTACCACCCACACCCACCCATACCACCCCTACCCCCCACACCCCCACGCACCCACACACGCACCCGTACAACCCCCACCCACCCACGCACCCACCCATACGACCCCACCCGCCCATACCACCCCACCCACCCATACCATACCACCCACCCACGCACCCATACCACCACCCACGCACCCACCCGTACCACCCCCACCCACGCACCCCACCCACCCACCCAAGTGCCCACCTCACGCTCTGTGTGTGTGTGTGGGGAGCGGTAGTGCAGCGGTTAGCAAGCTGTGCTGCAAAACCCGACGACCCTCATTTGATACCCGCTCACGGCCATCACCAGTGACAATTATCTTTACCGGTCCTGGGGCCTCCACTAGGTCGACTCAGCTCAAATGAGTACCCGGTGCGGTTGGTCAACATCGCCGTGCCGGCCCTCCACTAACAGCACTTCCCCCGACAGGATGTTGGAGCTCACGGGGGGATCTTTACCTCTCTCCCCTCCTCCGTATCTCGTGTCTCCACGCGTCATCTCCGTCCGCCCCCCCCCCCCCCTCCGCACAGGTAAAACCATCGCTATCGGCAAGGTGCTGAAGCTGGTGCAGGACAAGGAGTGATGGACGGGCCTGGACGACGCCGACTTGCGCCCACGACGGAAACAAAGCGGCCGTTCAACTCGACGCCGAACCCGCCGCCACGCTGGAGCGGCACGCTGGCGGCACGGCCGTGGAGAAACCCGACGCGCTCAAGCGCACGCACACACACACACACACGCCAGCTCGCACGCACACACACACCAGCACGCACGCACACACACATACGCCAGCTCACTCGCACCAGCTCGCTCGCACACACGCTACACGCACACACCAGCTCGCACGCTACATACCAGCTCCACACTTGCTCGCACGCACATGCCAGCTCGCACGCTCGCTCACACGCACGCACATGCCAGCTCGCACGCACGTACACGCACACACGCCAGCTCGATCGCATGCACACGTCAACCGGCTCGTACACACGCACACGCCAGCTCCGCACACGCGTGCGACACATGAGCTCGCACACACACATGACACAGACAACCTTTTG